TCCCACACAATGAAGTCCCTAAATCTGTCTAAACGTTTGGATTTCGGCATTCCTCTAATGTATCCTTGGGAAGAAAAGATGTATAAAAATGTGGTTATTACGAGGATACCACAAAGTATGCACTCAGACAGCACACGATTGCATTGACCTCCACTGCATGTCAGCCGATACTCCTGCTGTACTACTGTCTTCATGCATACTTTGCAGTACCCTCGTAATAGCCTAATATTATTCAACTGTTCAACCACAAAATAGACTGTGTGGAAGTTCAAATTCATTTGAGAGACTGTCATTTGTATACAAACAAAAAATGCTGTAAGCAGTTAATTAGTATGTAAATTAGGTAACTAATATGTACAGATTGGAAAAACAATTTTAATCAACTATTTAGCATCAAACATGCAAAGTCTGATTGAAAGCTGCCAAAAACTTTCTTGTTGTGAACGGATATGAATTAGGATGTGATGCAATTTAATGGTTTTCTTTTCAGGCTACACCTGAACAAAAACCAAAAAGTGTGCACACATCTTAGAAAACTTACCAGTAATTCTTTAGCCATAGCGTTACACTGTTGATAGTTTGACTGGAGAATAACCCTCGTAATCTGCTCAAAGCACTGTCACTATCAACCATCACACAAACTCCATACTCATTACAATATCCTAGAACATGGAAAGACCAACAATCAATAAGATACAAAGGAAATGTACCAAAATTATTTGGCAAAAAATAGTTTTTAATCCATGCAATACTGAGCCAAAATGACACATTGACTTCTGAAAGCTTGCATGACACCTGCCATCATTTGCATAAAAACAAACAGCCTGTCGGATGAGATAGCTCCGCTGTTAGCAAGGCATATTTCAATTAAAGAACAGGAGATATCATTAGAAAATGAACAATACATATACTATCAAAGCAATCGGACTTGCTGTTTTCAACAAGAAAATATCACTTTTTACCAAAAATGACAAAAATATTTATCAAAATTAGATAATTGAAGATATCATCACAAAATTAACAAATCTGAAAGAGGTTTACCTGAGGTACTTATATGTATAATATCAAAGCAATCAGACTTGCGATTTTTAACAATAAGTCGAAAATATCACTTTTCACCAAAAATGACAAAAATATTCACCAAAACTAGAGAATTGAAGATATCATCATCAAATTAACAAATCTGAAAGAGGTCTACCTGTAGTACTTATATATGCAATATCAAAGCAATTGGACTTGCTTTTTTTAACGAGAATACGAAAATATCACTTTTTACCAAAAATTACAAAAATATTCACCAAAAATAGAGAATTAAAGATATCTTCACAAAATTGACAAATCTGAGAGATGAC